TGATTTTGTTGATTTGGGTCATTTATCTTTTCTTTTTGATAAGTCACGCCAGGGGTTTATCAATCTTGTTAATTCTTTCAGAGAACTAGCTCCTCGTTTCGTTGATCTGTTCTACTGGTTTCTATTTCATTGATTTCTGCTCTGATCTTTATGATTTCTCTTCTCCTGCTGGGTTTAGGCTTTATTTGCTGTTCTCTCTCCAGCTCCATTAGGTGTACCGTTAGGTTGTGTATTTGAGACCTTTCTTGTTTCTTGAGAAAGCCTTGTATCGCTATATACTTTCCTCTTAGGACTGCCTTTGCTGCATCCCAAAGATTTTGAATAATTGTGTTTTCATTTTCGTTCGTTTGCCTAAATTTTTTAATTGTTCTTTAATTTCCTGGTTGACCCATTCATTCTTTACTAGGATGCTCTTTAATATCCATGTATTTGAGTCCTTTCCGACTTTCCTCTTGTGATATAGTTGTAGTTTCAAAGCATTGTGGTCTGAAAATATGCAGGGAATGATCCCAATCTTTTGGTACCGGTTGAGACCTGATTTGTGGCCTAGGATATGATCTCTTCTGGAGAATGTTCGATGGGCAGTAGAGAAGAATGTGTATTCCGTTGCTTTGGGATGGAATGTTCTGAATATGTCTGTGAAGTCCATTTGGTCCAGTGTTTCATTTAAAGTCTTTATTTCCTTGTTGATCTTTTGCTTAGATGATCTGTCCATTTCAGTGAGGGGGTTGTTAAAGTCCCCCACTATTATTGTATTGTTGTCAATGTGTTTCTTTGCTTTTGTTATTAATTGCCTTATATAATTATAATTAGGGGCATAGATATTTACAATTGTTAGACCTTCTTGTTGGATAGATCCTTTAAGTAGAATATAGTGTCCTCCTCATCTCTTATTATAGTCTTTGGTTTAAAATCTAATTTGTCTGATATAAGGATTGTCCCCCCAGCTTTCTTTTGGTGTCCATTAGCATGGTAAATGGTTTTCCACTCCCTCACTTTCAATCTGGGTGTGTCTTTGGGTCTAAAATGAGTCTCTTGCAGACAGCTTATTGATGGGTCTTGTTTTTTTTTTTTTTCCCCAATCTGATAACCTGTGTTTTGATTGGGGCATTGAGCCCATTTACATTCAGGGTAACTAGTGAAAGATATGAATTTAGGGCCATTGTATTGCCTGTAAGGTGACTATTACTGTATATTGTCTGTGTTCCTTTCTGGTCTATGTTGCTTTTAGGCTCTCTTTTTGCTTAGAGGACCTCTTTCAATATTTTTTGTAGGGCTGTTTCGTGTTTGCAAGTTCCTTTAGTTTTTGTTTGTCCTGGAAGCTTTTTATCTCTCCTTCTATTTTCAATGACAGCCTAGCTTGATATAGTATTCTTGGCTGCATATTTTTCTCGTTTAATGCTCTGAATATATCATGCTAGTCCTTTCTGGCCTGCCAGGTCTCTGTGGATAGGTCTGTTGCCAGTCTAATATTTCTACCATTGTAGGTTACATATCTCTTCTCCCGAGCTGCTTTCAGGATTTTTTCTTTGTCTCCGAGACTCGTAAGTTTTACTATTATATGTAGATATCCTACAAAAATAGGTGTTGACCTATTTTTATTGATTTTGAGAGGGGTTCTCTGTGTCTCCTGGATTTTGATGCCTGTTTGCTTCCCCACATTAGGGAAGTTCTCTGCTATAATTTGCTCCAATATACCTTCTGCCCCTCTCTCTCTTTCTTCTTCTTCTGGGATCCCAATTATTCTAATGTTGTTTCATCTTATTGTATCTCTTATCTCTCGATTTCTGCCCTCGTGATCCAGTACTTGTTTATCTCTCTTTTTCTCGGCTTCTTATTTTCCATCATTTGGTGTTTATCACTGATTCTGTCTTCTGCCTCATTTATCCTGGCAGTTAGAGCCTCCATTTTTCATTGCACCTCATTAATAGCCTTTTTGATTTCAACTTGGTTAGATGTTAGTTCTTTTATTTCTCCAGAAAGGGTTTCTCTAATAACTTCCATGCTTTTTTCAAGCCCAGCTAGTATCTTTAAAGTCATGATTCTGAACTCTAGGTCCGACATCATACTAATGTCCGTATTGAGTAGCTCCCTGGCTGTCAGTACTACCTCTTTTTCTTTTTTTTGAGGTGATTTTTTCCGTTTTGTCATTTTGTCCAGAGGAGGATAGATGAATGAGAGAACAAAATGCTAACAGCGTAACAACGTCCCCAGCAAATATACTCTAAACAAATCAGAAAAGACCTGAAACTGGGGGAAAAGAAAGGGAAAGAAAGAAAAAAGAAAAAGAAAAGAAAATGAGAAAGAAAAAAAACAAAAAGAGAATGAAACAAAAAAACATAATATGATCAAATGTCATCAGTCTGGTGCATAGATCAGTGCCACACACTAGATTTTGGGTGTAATTTGTCTGTTAGATGAAAGTGCCTCCCAAAATTTTAAAGAAAGAAAAACTTATATATGTACAAAAATAATGGTTGATACAAAGAAGGGATGGACTATGAATGTAAAGATGAAAAGTATAAAAAATTTTATAAAAGGAATTGATAAGTTAGGAAGTTGTTTGAAAAAGGAAAGAAGAGTATTTAAAAAAAAAAGCTAAAGAAAAAGAAAGGGAGAAAATGTGATCAGGCAGGAGACTAGAACAAAGCCATACACTAGAGATTTAGGGTATATTTTGATCTGTTAGAAAAAACTGTATCTCAATATTTTAAAGAGAGAACAACTTATATATATATGCCAAAAATAAGGGTAACTACTATGAAGGGATAGAATATGACTCTAAAAATGAAAAATAAAAATGTTTTTTAAAAAAGGGATTGATAAGATGTTGGTTGAAAAAGGGAAAAAGAAAAATTAAAAAAAAAAAAGACAAAATTAACTTTGAAAGACTAAAGAATCATGGTAAAAAAATTCATGGATTCTATGTGCAGTATTCTCCCAGCTCTGGAGTTCTGCCCTTCTCATTGCTTGGTAAACTTGGTCTTGACTGGCTGTTCTTGCTGATCTTCTGGGGAGGGGCCTGTTGCCATGGTTTCCAAATGTCTTTGCCGGAGGTGGAATTGCCCCACCCTTGCTGGGTCCGGCCTAAGTAATCTGCTCATGTTTGGTCTCGGGAGCTTTTGTTCCCTGCAAGCTTTCCCTACAGCTTTGGAGAATGAGAATGAAAATGGTGGCCTCCCAATCTGCCTGGAGGAGCTGAGAACTCCAGGCCCCACTCCTCAGTGCGCCCCCAGAGAAAAGGCAGTCAATCACTCCCGTCTCCCCCATCTCCGGCTGCACTATGTGCTCACCTAGCCTGTGACCGAGTGTTTCTATCTCTGGTACCCAGCTTGGTGTGGAGTCTCTAGACCCAGCAGATCCCTGCAGTGTGCTACCGCGCTGCTCCTCCCCGGGGAGGAAGGGGAGTCTTCCTGGATCTGCCTCTTGTTGGGTCCCTGCTGGAGGAGCTGTGGCCCAACTGTGCCACGGATCATGGTTTATGGCAACCCTGAGCTGAGAGCCCGCGCCCCGGCTCCGTCTCTGCAGCGGCTTCCCTTCTCTGATACTTGGGAGCTCTGCCACAATCAGGCACCCCTGGTCTTTCTGTGACCCCGAGGGTCCTGAGACCACACTGTCCCAGAGAGGGTTCCACCCCCTGCTTAGCCACTGGAACGATGTCCCTCAGCGGAGCAGACTTTTATAGGTTCCGATTTTGTGCTCTGCTGCTCTATTACTTGCCAGAGGCGGCTGATGGAGGCCCCCTCCCCCACCATCTGATTCACTTCTCTGTGCATCCTACCTTCCAGAAAGTGGTCGCTTTACTATTCAGAGTTGTTGCTGTTCTTTTCTTCGATCTCCTGTTGAGTTCGTAGGTGTTCAGAATGGTTTCATCCCTATCCAGCAGAATTCCTGAGACCAGACGAAATCCAGGTCTTTTACTCCTCCGCCATCTTGCTACGCGCCCCCCCATCTTCCTGTTTTTAAATTCAAGGAAGAATGAGTATTTGAGCCGTTTGTTTAGGTGCTAAAGGACTTACAAAGCTATGCAGGTTAGTTACTTGCTTCAAATTTGAAATTTGTGAAGGGCAGTTACCCATATAATCACAGTTTTATAAAAGTATAGGGTACTGATTTGTGGCATCACAAAAGGCCTCCCAAAGGAGGTGACATTTGAAGTTGGTAGAATTCTTTGGACCTTGGGCAGAGGGTTTTATAGGGAATAGTAGAAATAACAGTATTAAAAGCTTAGAGTCAGGAAAGCTTCTGTCTAAATGATTAAAAGAATTAATTAGTGTGTGTTTGGGCTGTTCAAGTTGCTGAGTTGTCATCTAAGTGAACATTGTGCAAAGCAATTTACATAGCCTGAGTCTGGTTATAAAATAAAGTTTTTATGATTTAATTGTATGCTAGAACTATAGTAAGTTCATTAGGTTGTTTTTTTTTTTTTTCAGTAAGATTTTATTTTTTAGTAATCTCTACACCCAACATGGGACTCAAACCTACAACCCCAAGATTAAGAGTTGCATGCTGTACCGACTGAACCAGCCAGGTGCCCGCCAGTTCATTAGTTTTGACTGGTTAAAAGTAATTTTGTGTTCTGATTCTTAAATACTAACTGTTTCTATAAAGAATTCCCTAGTTTTTAATTTTACATATTTTAATAAAAAGTTTAAAATTGGGCTTGTGTCTCTGAACTAATGCTTTGGGGAAAATAAGAACTTTGTTTTCATTACTGCCAGTATTCAAAATATGTTAAGATGTTATTAGTTTTAATCCTGGGGCAGAATGTACATATTCTCATTACTTTAATTAATACTTTTTTATATGATCTTTTGAGTATGAGACTTAAAACAGGGTTCAGTTAGTCTTTGTTAAAATCATTTTTGGAATTCTTGAAGCAAAGAATTTATATTATGAAACTTTAAAGTAATTGCTTAGTTTTTCCCCTCTCACATAAATATTCTAGAAGTTCAAGATAAGAGATTACATAGGCTGAAGTTATTTCTCTCTGTCTTTAGGAAATGGAGTTATTTTTTCCTTCAAGTGGAGTTTGTGGACCAGCAAACACTGCTAAATTTACGAATTGTACCTGTTGCATTATTAAGCCCCATGCCATCAGTGAAGGTAAGTGCTATCTTGAATACAATATATCCAAATATATTTTGTTAATAGGAGCTTATTTTGTTAGTTTATTTTCTTGATATATATGCAGAAATTAAAATAAAATTTTAATATTTTAATTTTTTCTTTAAAAACATGAATAAAGGTGACGAGGGAAAAATCTGTCTCCATCTATAAATATCTTTGTATCTACATTCTTTTTTTTAAAATATTTTATCTATTTATTTATTTGAGAGAGAGAATGAGATAGAGAGAGTACATGGCGGGGAGGGTCAGAGGGTGAAGCAGACTCCCTGCTCAGCAGGGACTCGATCCCGGGACTCCAGGATCATGACCTGAACTGAAGGCAGTTTCTTAACCAACTGAGCCACCCAGGCACCCTTGTATTTACATTCTTAAAAAAGTTTTCCTTGAGTTGCTGATCATGGTCATGCTTATCCTGTTTCAGGTCTTGATTCCTTGACTTTTAATCTGCCTCCTCTCCTCCCAATGACATAACCAATTCACTTAATTCACTGAAATAATTCTCCTAATGTACAATTTAAAACAGTGTCTACCACATCTGTGGTATGCCCTTTCTGAGAAAGCTGGAGAAACTTCCTTTAGTTTTTAGTATCTGAAACAAAATTCTTTGAATATATAAATATATATATAGGTACACATACATATGTACACATGTACGCACATGCATAGATAGGTAGATTGTATAGATGGCTGTATACTGAGAGTTTGCAAGCTTTTTTATCTTTATTTGTCTTCTATTTATTTCAGTCTGTTGTATGTAGTTTTGTCAACTATTCCAAATCCTTCTGGAAATGAGATGGATATAATTTAAAAGATTATCTTTAAAGAAACTAGAATATTCTAAATAATAAACATAATTGAGAGGGTTTTTTAGTTTTATTTTTTCTAAATATCAAAGTAATTCAGGTATACAGTAGAAAATTTGGAAAAAAAAAACAGTAAAAGTTACCTGTTTTCCCATTATCTTGATATAGTCATTGTTAATATTTTTATATTTCCTACAAATCCTTTTCTTCTGAATGTGTGTATGTGTGTGTATGTGTGTACACTGACATGTAATTGTTAAGACGGTTGAGATGTGTGTCCATAGCTATTGTTTTAATTTAATTTTAGGGAGCATTTTTGGATGCTCTTAATTCTTCATGAGTATTTCAATGGTTGTACCCTATGCAGTCATATAGATGTAGTATAATATTGGGATACTTAGGTTGTTTCCAGGTTTTTGATGTTAAAAATATAGCTTTGAAGAATATTTTTATACATTAATATTTGACAGTATCTCTAATCATTTCATCAGGCAAGGTTCCTAGAAATAGAATTATTGGTTGAAAGGATCTGAACCTTAAAGATCTTGTTGCATAATGAATACTTCTTTAATTATTGAGGAAGTGCTTTAATATCTGTAGATCCTTAGGACCACAGTTATAGGGAACTAACATGCATCATGGGTAACGAACATTTACAGAGACCTTAACACCTTGTGCTGAGTTGTAAACTGAGTACCTTATACATTATCTCCTTTAATATTCACAGCAATTATGCCAAGTAGGTGGATATATCATTCTTTTCCAGATAAGTGAGCTGAGGCTATCTGAGAATAAGTTATTTCTGCCAATTTAGAGTAGGGAGTCCAAGATGCAGACCTGATCTCTTGTAACCTCCATGTTCTTTCCTCGACATGTTTGGCTCCGTAGAAGATGTTTACAATAACATGTTTAGCAACACTTACACAGGCAGTAATAATAATATTTGAAAGGGCTGGTGTTGATAAGCTATGGAAAACAAAATTGGGATTACCTCGGGATGAATACACACAATATATACCCACATACATACACACACACACACACACACACACACACACACACACACACATACACATACATAATATACACACTTTTTTCCCCTTTTTATTGTTATGTTAATCACCATATATTACATCATTAGTTTTTGATGTAGTGTTCCATGATTCATTGTTTGTGCATAACACCCAGTGCTCCATGCAGAACGTGCCCCCTTGAATACCCATCACCAGGCTAACCCATCCCCCCACCCTCCTCCCCTCTAGAACCCTCAGTTTGTTTTTCAGAGTCCATCGTCTCTCATGGTTCGTCTCCCCCTCTGACTTACTCCCCCTCATTCTTCCCCTCCTGCTATTTTCTTTTGTCTTAACATATGTTGCATTATTTGTTTCAGAAGTACAGATCTGCGACTCAACAGTCTTGCACAATTCACAGCGCTCACCGTAGCACATACCCTCCCCAATGTCTATGACCCAGCCACCCCATACCTCCCACCCCCCACCACTCCAGCAACACTCAGTTTGTTTCCCGAGATTAAGTATTCCTTATATCAGTGAGGTCATATGATACATGTCTTTCTCTGATTGACTTATTTCACTCAGCATAACACCCTCCAGTTCCATCCACGTCGTTGCAAATGGCAAGATTTCATTCCTTTTGATGGCTGCATAATATTCCATTGTGTATATATACCACCTCTTCTTTATCCATTCATCTGTCGATGGACATCTTGGCTCTTCCCACAGTTTGGCTATTGTGGACATTGCTGCTATAAACATTGGGGCGCACGTACCACTTCGGGTCCCTATATTTGTATCTTTGGGGTAAATACCCAGTAGTGCAATTGCTGGATCGTATGGTAGCTCTATTTTCAACTGTTTGAGGAACCTCCATACTGTTTTCCAGAGTGGCTGCACCAGCTTGCATTCCCACCAACAGTGTAGGAGGGTTCCCCTTTCTCCGCATCCCTGTCAACATCTGTCGTTCCCTGACTTGTTAATTTTAGCCATTCTGACTGGTGTGAGGTGGTATCTCATTGAGGTTTTGATTTGGATTTCCCTGGTGCCGAGTGATGTTGAGCACTTTTTCATGTGTCTGTTGGCCATTTGGATGTCCTCTTTGGAAAAATGTCTGTTCATGTCTTCTGCCCATTTCTTGATTGGATTATTTGTTCTTTGGGTGTTGAGTTTCATTAGTTCTTTATAGATTTTGGATACTAGCCCTTTATCTGATATGTCATTTGCAAATATTTTCTCCCATTCTCTCGGTTGTCTTTTGGTTTTGTGGACTGTTTCTTTTGCTGTGCAGAAGCTTTTTATCTTGATGAAGTCCCAATAGTTCATATTTGCCCTTGCTTCCCTTGCCTTTGGCGATGTTTCTAGGAAGAACTTGCTGCGGCTGAGGTCGAAGAGGTTGCTGCCTGTGTTCTCCTTTAGGATTTTGATGGACTCCTGTCTCACATTTAGGTCTTTCAACCATTTGGAGTCCATTTTTGAATACACACATGTTTTAATGTGATGAGACAAATTCTTGTTTAAGGGTCTCAACTTCATTAAAAAGCTTATCTTTGGTATCTTAATACATTTCAATTGTTTTTTTTTCCTCTCTTTTCTCAATTGGGTTTTTAACTGATTTAATTTTTTCAGCAAAATGTGATGTTTGGAGAGACAGGAATAAAATAGAATTATAGTAAATACTAATTAATACTTTAATAATTGCATAGATAAATATAACTGAAATCTAATAACATTGATTAAATGAAAAGGTGATGTCAAAATGACTAATTTTATATTTATACAGGTTTAAATAATTTTTAGTCAGCTATTCTTTGAAGATTAGCTATTTTTCATGTGTCTATATTTGATACATAACATTAGAAACATGAGTTGATTAAAGAAAATTTTTGTAAAATCTAATCAGATGGCAAAATACTTTAAATTTTGGCATTTCAAGGCTTTTTTTTTCTAAATCTCAATTTTAGGGATCCTTTTAGGCACTTTTTAAATGTGCAAATAATCCAATTCAGTTTCAAGTTTAAATTTTGGCTGCAAGGAAATATAGTTTGAAACCTTGTGTTGAATTTATTGTTAGATTTATGCAGGCCCTTTCATTGCTGGTTTATGTTTATCATTTCTATAATGATCTCACTTCCTGGTATATTTAACTTCACCTATGGTCTAGCATAGGCATAAGGGGAGAAGAGACTTTTTTTTAAAAAAGGTGTTGTTGATAAGAGAGCAGTTGAAATCAAATTGGTTCATTTCCTTTTGTGGACTATCAACTCCCCCAAAGAAGGCCAGAATAGCTTTAATCAACAAAACTGTTGCTCATTACAAGGAGAGCACATCTTGACAGTCTTGGTCAACTTTACCAGGGAGAGATAATGGGCAGATATTGTAGAGTTTTGGGTGTGACCTTGAGAGATTTAAGGTGGGTCTTCCAGTGCAGTGATCGAAACTGCGTAAGTTCCTGATATAATAGTTTAGGATTAGCTGAAACAGTGAGACAAGGATCTTAACCAAGCCTTGTAAGTACACAGTTATTGGATAAGTGAGTTGTTTGTCCAATTGAGGGAATATTGAGAAAAGGGGACTGTTTGAGTAGTCTATTGTTGGGGTAAATGGACTTTTGGGAGGTTCCTGAAGCAAACAATGAAGTTATTTACTGATTTACAGCCTTATCTTTGGGTAAGAATTTCTTGGCACAAATAATAAAGTCATGTGGATGTAGGCAGCCTCAGTTCTTAGTCCTATAGTTAAGCTATGTGGATGTGGAAGTTTACTTCTCCTAAGAGAGCTAGAAAAGAGAGACCTTAGTTTGCAGAATAGATGGTGGGAAAAAATAATGAGGTGCACTTGGGGCATTTACAAGTCTTTTTACGTTTGTAGATTGAAGTACATTTTGTCATTTGGGGACTCAGATTTTAAAAGGGAAGAAAAACAAGGTGAATGTTCTTGTGTTCTTTTTTCTTTTAATTTTTAAATTAAATACTATGTATTTATTTATATAGTATTTATATTAAATATTATGCAATGTATTTGTTTTGGTGTCCTCAGTATTACTTTCATGTAGTTTAATTCCATCAATGAAATGAATTGTTTTTACTCTGAAATCAGGCTTTGTAGGCTTGAATTTTGGCTCTGCTATTTAACTAGCTGTGGGATATTGGATAAATTA